CAATGTGGACATAGGTATTAAAACTGTGGCGGCAGTCTGTTTCATGCGTAAACATAATCATCATTATAAAAAAAAAATCATATTTAATTTATATATTGGACACCGAATCATTGCTAGAGATCGGTGTTCTGGTTCAGGTAAAATGCCAAGATTTCGAATGCCGATTTTAAAAGGAGGTAGGTCCTTTCTCCTTGAAAGATTGGACGCACCACAATTTCCCTGTCCAATGGTGCCTTGTGTTGTATAAATTATGCCTCTGAAATATCAATAAAGATGAAATGATCCTTTTGCGATTTGAAACCGTATCGATTCCCTTTCTGCTATCTGACTTTGGTGTCTCTTTCCATAAGTCATGTCGTCCCTGTTTTTCATACATCAACAACAACATCAGCAACAACAAAAACTAAATAAAAGGACTGCCGATTATAAATTCTGGGCTTTGGCAGATTCCCATATTTCCCAGCAAAACCCCCAAGAGAGGGGTTTCCGTAAAACATGTACTGTCTGGTGGGTCGGTGGGTAGATAAAAAAAAAGGGACGTTGCAACTACACCCATTAGCGCGTCATCTCTGCGGTCTACTCGTCTTAATAGGAATTCCGAAAGGGAGAATGTCAAGTGGAAAGGCCAATGTCGTTAGAGTCGGTTTGACGTCTAATTCTTGTGCGTCATGCATAAAGAAGTCACGTGACGCCCAGCGCCCTACATTCTTCTCTCTCTATATATATATATTACTTGTTTTCATTTTTCTCCCACTTTTCTCAAAAATCCCCCCCTTTTTTTATAATTTCCTGTTTTCTTTTCTGCTTCCCATGTCGCATACCTGCACCTGTCCTACCGTTACTACTATTACTACTACTACTAGCATTCTAGACCATTCAAGAGACTTTCTGTCACTTGACTCCCAGTGAAAGTCGACAATATCTACTGGCGTAAACATTCAATAATAATACTAATAATAGTAATAATATTTATTTTAACATCTTCAGCACCAAGATTTTGTTATTACCTTTTCCTTTGTGTGTAGGCTAGGAAAAGAATAATGATGATTCATCAGAGGCTAAATAGTGTCGCTAGAAAGGGAAGTATTAGTCACAGTAGTGTAAAGAGAACAAAATAAAGACAAAGAGCGATTTCACAAGAGAGGGATGTTAACGTGATTATCGTCGTTCGGCACTTAACATGTAAAGTTGCGACAACATTAATTAACGTCCTTTGGCTCTGAACGTGTTAATCGAAAGTCGTAAGTGATGAAAACTATATGACGACAGTTAGGAAATGACAGACATTAGGGAAATTAGTAGCCAATGAAAACAATGTATGAAACAAACAGAAAAAAAAAACGCTATGGTTATCTCATTAAGTTGATGCAAAAGATCCCACCACCATCTTTTGAAAAATGTTAGAGAAATCTTTAAGTGTTTTTAATGTTTGGTAATTTCTCTCTTGCTTCAGTCTACATACTCTTTAAGAATTACTTTGATGAAAGAAATTAAAAATCCATTATTCCATTAGAAATATACATATATATTTATATATTTCTGCAACTGTTTTTTTTTTTTAATTCAGGCGTTATCCCATTTGATGTAACCGATTTCAAGTCACACAAGCTGACATCATTTAAACGGCTAGATTGAATTTTTAATATGTATTTTTATAACACATACACACACACATACACACACACACACACACACACACATATATATATATATATATATATATATATATATATATATATATATATATATATATATATATATATGTATGTATATATATATATGAAAAAAAATATACGGAAAAAAAAAAAAAAATCCTAATATGCAATTATGCTGTTTTAATGTTAATATAATGTCAACGTCGGACGTTTCGGTCTAGTAGACCATCTTCAGGACATATTTATAAAACATAATTAACATTAGACTATATTTAATTCAACATGAAAAGACGATGGACATTAAGAGTAAGACTAATCAAAACAGAGTCTAATGTTAATTATGATTTATGAATATGTTTTATGAATAATGTTTTGAACCTTGCTAAAAAATAAAAAAAATAATATATATATATATATATATATATATATATATATATATATATATATATATATATATATATATATATATAGAGAGAGAGAGAGAGAGAGAGGGAAAGAGAGAGGGAGGCACGGTGGGGTAATGGATATCGGCTTGGATTGGGGAATCGCTGAGCCGAGTTCGAATCCAGGTTGAATCCATTACATTCACTTACCTGCTAATACCATTGGGAAAGATATGTATCCTCTTCTTCACTCCTCCCCCAGCTAATACCCTTGGGAAAGGTGTGAATCCTCTTCTTCTCTCTCCAGCTATGGGTAAAATAGCAGGACAGACTGGGTTCTATAGCCTTGGATGGCAACTGGTCTAGGAGAAGGACAACTCTGAATTCAAAACCTGAGGGGGGTTGTTTGGGAACCCTGTGGCACATAGTGCACCAGGTTTCTGTATTCGGCCCTTCAAAAAGTGTGGATGGTCTTGCACGAAGGCGTCACCACTATAATCAAATCTCATGTGCCGGTGTCGGGCTGTCACTTTCCTGGAAACTGATCTGCTTGACCATCATACGTCGAACCTGACGGGAGAATCGATATATATATATATATATATATATATATATATATATATATATATATATATATATATATATATATATATATATATATATATATATATATATATATATATATGCACTACACTTGGGCACCTCGAGCTGTTGTAATGATTAGCAAGCTTGTCTCGCAAGAACAATTACGACTGAGTAGTGAGTTCGATTCTCACTGGGTGCCTCTTACTTTGGCCTTTGTGCCACACCTGAGCTAAGCTTGAAAATCACTATATATGTAAGTTTACAGCCGGGCACGTAATTATTAACAGAATTTTAACTTGAAATTTTCATTGTATTGAATTAAGTGCATTGACAAGGAAGGACATGACTGTAGACTTACTGGCGTATCAAAATGCGATGAACATATAAAAAAATGGTGACAAGCTTCGTGCCTTAGTAAACACACAATTTGTTATTGTATTCTTTTCCCATCCCTTGAACAGGTGGATCAGTTATTGTGTTCAAGTTGGCGCATAATGATTATGAAACGACTTCCGTAATTACTTTCTTTTTATTGCACCTACATAAACATCGACGTCACCCACATGAATTACAATTTTCTTTAACTGATGTATTTTTTTTAGTAGCATCTTTGGAAAAATTATTCAAAATCTATGCGAAGTAACACAAACAAAATTGCCGGTAAAGATGGAAACCTTAAGGCTGCACTTCAATATAAAAGAAAACATTGATTTATTAAAATGGGACAATATTTTCAACAGCAACATTTAACATTATCAGTGTTTTCGACTCTACGCGTCAATAATTATTAAAAACTAATCGATCTACTCTAATTTTGAATGTTAAAGTACTCCAAATGGTTTTATTTATCAATGATTTTAGGGTTAAAAACACTTACCATTTGTTTCAAATTCAAGTGGTATTCGGTAAGAGTTATAGAGACTGTATTTCAAATGTAATGAGAACGAAAAGAATATAAATTCAAACGTTCATATCATTAATTCAAAAGAGCGCTCAATAGCAAGTTTAGAGAAATAATTATTTATTATAAAGATGTTACATACGGACAAATAAGTACTCATGACAAAGATGCATTTTTGTTTCGAGGTAGAAAGGGTTAGGGTTAGGGAAAGAACAAAGATGGTTATAAATGATTCTATTTAAAAATGCCGCCTATGGAACATTATTTTCTTTTTCTCATTATTCAAGTTGCTTTTGGAAGAAAAAAAAACATAAGGAGAAACACCATAAAAGGAAAAGAAAAAATATAAAAGGGTTTCCATAAAAGGAAAACAAAAGAAAAAATGAAGAAAGCCAGTAAAAACAAAAAGAAGGAGGTAAGAAAATAATAGAAGGAAAAAAAGGGGGAAAGGAAGAGAAATATAGGAGTTAAGAAAATTTAAAAATAAATAACAAATGTCGAAAATTCCAAAGATTCTTAATAATTAACTGTGATAAGTAGTCAATATTTATGTCAACAGAATTTTTTGTTGTTTAAGAATATCGAGATTCGTTCTTTAAAGATCGTTTTTTTAGTTTAAAATATGAGGCGGGGTAAATTTTTAAACGTCCAAATCTCTATTTTAGTTTAAAAATGAGAGGTAGATAATTTTTTTTAAAAACTAAAACCCATGATTTTTTAAGAAATTATGAGCCACACTAATTTTTTGCACCAAAAAAATTGATCTGGATCAAAAAAATCTGAGGCTGAATTTTTAAACACCTAAAGCTTATGTATCGGTCGTAAACTTAAGGAATCAGCACATATGCTAGGCCACAAAAATCACCTGAGCCGACCAAGCATAGAAATGAATACAATATGGGAACCAGTAATAAGGAGTGCAAAAAGCGATAATAACAACAAAAATTGCAATATGAGCTCTGGTAAAAAATAATTGCTCAATACCCGGTTAAGGCAGTGGAGAACTTTCAGAGGGGAATTAACAGGAGATAACTGACATCCATTAGACACGGCATGTGGAACTAGAACAGTCTACCCCAGTGAGCGAAATAAAGTGTTCAGTTCGACATTTCAACAACCTGAAGAAGGCCGGAGCGTACAACGGCCGAAACGTTGTAATAAATATGGCGACAAAGATGAGAAATAATGTAGTGTATCTAAATTTTATATTTAGTTTAAATTTTGATTATATTTTTAATTTTCAAAATTCGCTTATATTAGTCATTTTTTTTTCCTGTACCGGCGTAAAAGAGTAAAGCTGGATTTAATGCCTTTCTTTCGCGAGAAGACAGTTTTGGCGAATGAACTCACATCTATTTCCGTTTATGTTTCAATAATATCATTGATTTTTAAACCGGTTGTCTTCAATGCTTAAAGGAAACAAGAGCAATAACTAAAACAACATCTTTATTATCATTCAACTCGAAACTATCGGCTTACGGCCGCATCACGTTGAAACACCTGTTCCCGTACAATCACCGAAGTTAAGCCTGGTCAGTACCGAAATGGGTGACCGCTTGGGAATACCAGGTGCTGTAAGCATGGATGTGCAGGTGGTGTAATGGATAATGGTTCGGATTTGTCAATCGGAGAGCCGAGTTCCAATTCCGATTGGGTTCGTTATATTCACTTACGTACAAATAACCTTGTGAAAGGTATGAATTTACCACTTCTCCTCCAGCTATGGCTAAATTACTAGGATTTGTACCACTAAACCATTATTAGTTCCACTCGCCCAAATTCTTATGGCTTTAAATAACCATCAAATGGTTGACAAGCCGGAAGAAAAAAAAAAAAACGAATCAATCACTCGAAACCCACACTTTTCTGACATTTGTTGTCTTTGCTGCCAATCACTGGCAGAACTCAAATGACATGTCAAACCTAAAAACTTTGTTTGGAAAAATCTGATTTATTCTTTGGACATCCTACGTTTAAACTGACTGGCAATCCCATCGGGCACACACACACACACATATATATATATATATATATATATATATAAATATATATATATATATATACGCGGGCATTGATTGAGGTCAACACCCAGCGGCGACAGTCTGTTTCACGCTTAAACGGAATCGCCAGCTGAGGATAGCTTAACGATTGCGTTTAAGCATGAAACAGACTGTCGCCGCTGGATGTTGACCTCCGTCCACTGTTTTATTTACACATCCCTATCCCTGATATTGAGCATTTTAGCTCAATAATATGACATACGTAAAACCTACACACACACACACACACACACACACACACACACACATATATATATATATATATATATATATATATACTAGTAATATAATCCATTTTTGACCGGGTCTTTCGTTACTGGGAATTTTTGCTGTTCAGTTGGAGCAGTTTAAGTTTAAAGTCAGCCCACTCGAAAATCAATATTAGTAACAACATTTGGGTGCAACTGAGGCACATCCTCAAATGGAGGGGGGGGGTTAACAATTTGAATCGGGAGAGGCCCTGAAAAGGGAACTGTACAATAATAAATAATATTATCGCAATAATTTAAACTATTTTTATTAAAGTTTTTATGAAAGATATACATATCGAAGAACAGATAGTAAAAAGAAGTAGTGGAGAGCCATTGTCGCCAACAATTTGGATTCAAAACCGGTACTGAAGAATTATCTTTCAAACAAAAAAACTTCATCGAAATCGGATGAAAACTGAAAATGCATAAACATCCGATCACACACAGACACACACACACACATACATGCACACAATATATATATATATATATATATATATCCGATGCAACAAGAACAAAAATAATTCACAGCATTAATCCAAAAGAAGGCTCGATACTGATAGTAGAGCAATAATTATTTCTTATAATTTTTTCATATAGACAAAAACAATTTACTCACTACAAAGATGCAATTTCGTTTCGGTGCATTTCAATTGCACCTCGACTAGTGGGAACCAAAATTGGTTATGGACAATTCTGCTTGTAAGCAGGCTGTATATGAAAGGTCACTTCTCTTTTTCCATTTGTTTGAGAAAAAATATATACATAAAGCAAAAATGTAACGGAGTGAAACAATAGTGCCTGTTAATAGCAGTTTGGTGAAGGATGGGTGAGATATTAAAGTGGTTGTTAGACTGAAGAAATTCCTTGTCGATAACAACGGTCAAAAGTTTAGGCACAGCATTTGCAAGCCTTCTAAGAGATTAGGGGTGGAGGAGGAAAGGTGGGAATAGGGGATAGTAATACGATGAAAGAGGTAGGAGGGATAAATTCAAACGATATTTATAGTAGTAATTGCGAATATTCTTTTTGGTTATTATAAAAAAACAAGCTAAATCAATGAAATGATATGATATGTATATATATATATATATATATATATGTATGTATGTATGTGTGTGTGTGTGTGTGTGTGTGTGTGTGTGTACCAAAAAGGCGTAATTTGGAATTGGCGCGCTACCTAAATGCAGTTGCACATTGCACTGATAAATTTCACGAATCTGTTCTATTTCAAACTAGTTAGACGCGTTGATTTTCTCTGGCTTGGCTGACTTGTTTCTTGCGACTTTCAACTTGTGTTTGTAAGCACGTTTGGTGATTTTTTCGCATGTTTGACAACACAAAACACTGTGTGTGCTTCAAGATTTTTTAAAGGATTAAATCCTGCTAAAACTGTTGTAATCATTCAAGAAACTTTTAAGAAAGAAAAAAATCTTCCAATAAAACAGTTATACGCGTGATATTCTCGTTCCAAACGTGATGAAAAGTTACTTGAATAGCAGCCAAGTTCTAGCCGATCTTTAACCAACCGAAATGCCAAAAAAAAAAAAAAACCTTGAAAATGCTTACCACGCAATCAATGAATTTACTCCCTGTGCATAAAAAGAGAAAACTCAATCGTTTGAATATGTTGAACGATTTTAGGGAACAAGTTCGAAATGTAGTTTCTAAGCGTGTGTCACGTGATACCATTTAGTTGTAAATTCTTCACTTGAAGATAAATTGATATTTTTTTTAATACAGTGTGACCCCAAAAAACGGGAATTTTTGAAGTGCGTATTGCCAGACATGAGCAAGTGGCAACACAGTGAGACAGTGACCTTGAGCAGGTAAACATTTCGCCATTTAGAATTCAAGATGAAATTCACAGTATCCCAGCTTAGATGTTGCAGCAGTCAATGAGGAATCTCAACAGCAGATTTCAATAATGTATTCGTACAGGAGGACGCCATCTACAGGACGTAATTTTTAAAAAATGAAAATTCCATCATTGTTTCTTAAATGGCATGTTTTAAGGTTTCAATTACTATGAATAAAATATTTTTCTTCCATCACTCTTGGTTTTATTGGATTGTTAAAAAGTTCACGTTTTTTGGGGGTCACTCTATATTATAAGGCCGCTAGGCATTTAGCAATGGGAAAGAGCCTAACGTTGCTAACTCATCGTTAATGAGTTCAATCCTTGCTAGTTTCCCTAATGATTTTGTACCAAATGAGATTTACCTAAATTTAGAATATGTCGACACTTTGTCCATTGTATATTTTACAAATTTTCAACTGACGATTTGCAACAAATCCCATTGTGTCTTGGTTTCATTGTTTCAATAAAATCAGCTAAAACTTTCTCAAAACGTTCCATATTCGGAATTAGCCAGACATGAAGTTGCTTACCTGTGGCGATTGACGCTGCAATTTACTACTTTAATAACACTATTTCTTTAATTAAAACCAGCAACTTAAATTTTTAGAGGATTTCCCATTCAAAATTGACTAAGTAAGAAGTTGCTTATCTATAGTGATTAAAGCTGTATTATATTGATTTAATAACACCTGCCGATTTAACCCTTTCCGTCTTAGTTAAAAACAGCTACTTAAATTTTTAGAGGATTTTCCATTTCAAAGGGTTTCCTATTTAGAAATGACCATTAAGGAAAATGCTTACCTGTAGTGATTAGGAAGGAAATCTATTATTTTAAATATAGCACTTTATACAGATCATAAATTAGATGAAAAGTTGAAACTGGAAAATGTATGAATCTTACCCAACATTGGCCGTTGATACAAATGTCCAAGTTTTGGTTATCGCATCTTGTTCCGTCCAGAACTTTGGGAGCGAGGCTTTTAACAATATTTCCTTCCACAGCCAAGCAGTAAAGGGAGCAGGGGTCGGAAGGGTTTCGGTAGGGTATCCAGGTAAAATACTGCCCAAAATACATATTGTCGTCATAGGCCGAACATTGTTGTGCTCGGAAATTGTCCTTGGGATTAGGACATTGCTGAAAATGGATCAGAATAAAAGTCTATATTTTAATACCCTTCGTTTTCTTTTTCGCATATTTTATTTACATTTCATTCAGTTTTTTTTAAAAATAAATGCCAAAGTCACAGAAGGATTTTTAAAATCTAATAATAGAAAGATGTTAACTTATGTTTTGTAGATTTTGTAAAATCATTTGATAGGGTGCAGCACACAAAGTTCTATTTGAACTGCTAGGAAAACTCGATGTATTTGAAAAAGATGCTAGAATAATCCAGAATTTATAATGAGAGCAAACCGCATTTTGAACTCATTTTGCAGGTTTTGTTTTCTGTGCCGCTTACAACCTGAGGTTTTGTCAGGTGAGTTACAGATTCAAAGGAGTTGAGACTCTAAAAAAATTTTAAATGCTCATCTTTGACAATTCTGACAAAAATATTTTAATTTGATTTATCTAATAAGAAAATTAAAAGTAACACTTCTAGTTTGAATCAGAAATTAACCGTTGAAACTTCCAGGACAATGAAGAAAGAGAGCTTGGAGGATATGACACTTAAAGGGCATACTGAAGGCTAGAGTAATCGATTAACCTACCTAGCGACCATGTGTAAATGAATGGCCGAAAAGGGAATGGGAGGAAGAAGAAGGGGGAAGACATTGCTTAGAGCCACGAAATTGTGGAAAGCCATGATTGTCCACATTCTGGAGAAACACAGAACATAAAAGAAAAACCAATTTCAATAGCGCCAACTACAAAATGTGTACAAATGTTCTAAGCTCTCTCTTTTTTAAACCTACAGATTGTATTTTACTGGGAAATATACATGCTACTTTGAAATCATTTTTATGCTGGTTAATTGGATATACCAAAATCAAACTACAACAACTTAATTAACTGCGAAGTGTTTTAACAGGGGAGAGAAAGTGATACACTGAAATCCGAAGGCGCATTGAGATAGCGAAAGATGCCTTTCAAAGGCTACGCAAAGTATTAAGAAACAGGAAAATTTTGTTAGAATTGTTACGTATTATCAGTTCAGTGAATACTAGACAATCTTGAGGCTTGAAGTAAAAGGAAGTTGGTCCTACAGAAAGATGCTGAGAATATCATTGACCGAAGACGTGAGCAACAACGAATCCTTAGAGAAAATGGAAAGAAGAAGGACACTTATAATTAACATCAGAAAGAGGTAGTTAAAAATTCTGGGCGCATGATTAGAAAAGAGTGCTTGGAAAAATTTGATACTCATAGAAGAAGAAGAAGAAGAAGAAGAAGAAGAAGAAGAAGAAGAAGAAGAAGAAGATTGTCTTGAAAGCCGTTGAAAGTAAGGTCGTTGTACAGGGTGGTCCGAAAGTCTTGTCTCCCATATAACAATCAGCAAAGCTTCGTAAAATATCACACAGAACATGGCGCCTTATCATGCAGGCGTTCTCGATGTGTGACAGCGTCATTGAAAGTGAATAAACTGAATCCAGTACATGTGCTTTGTATTACAGTGTTACTCTTCTATTGTTCTCATTACTTGACAAGACTTTCGGACCACCTTGCATAACATAATTTTTCCCATGGTTAATATGGTTCAACAACTATACAAAATGATTTAGATAGGTTTATTTGTTTTTCGTAGATATTAGGCGTGTAAGGGCAAAATCGTAATAATAATCAGGATTAATATGTTTTTGATTCGCGGACCATCCGGAGCGAGTTCGATTCTCGCTGAATGCTCTGTAACCTTTTATTGGAATTACCCATTCCCATAAATGCCGACAAAGAAAACAAGAAGGATGAAAAATCAATTTAAAATCATAAATATTTTCATACACACCTCATTATTACAAGTTACATATTGAATCGCTTCACCTTGGCAGCCATATTGAAATATAAAACTGGGAATGCATTTGCGTAGTCGGTATGAGGAACCACCTCCACAAGTTCGGGAACACAAACTCCAGTTACTCCAATCGGACCAATAATCTGCCTGGGACGAAGAAATTAACTGAAAAAAAAGAAAAATAGCTTAATTATTCAGATGTCAGAAAAAAAGAAAAAATATATTTAATCTGGTAATCTTGTCACTTGCCGAACCGCTGGGCACTTCGACATGATGCAATGATAATTTTCTAAATATAACTTAGATGTGGCACAAAAGTATGGGGCACCCAATGAGGATCGAATTCAGATCTAACGGGACCATATTGCATCAGTTGCTACATCTGTTGCTATGAAATTTAGTTCACTTAGCTGTGTTAGAGAGTTTTTCTCCCCACAATTTATCTTACATATTTATAAGGTTGCCATTCGCCCATGCTTCGAATATGGTCCAGTTCCCCTGCTATATATTTAGAGAGTTTTGATGAAATACAAAGAAGTATCTGAAATATTATTCGTTTTGACCTGGTATCTCGATTTCAGTCACTTTCCCACCGTCATAATTTAGCCGCACTGTGCCTTTTCTATAAATAATTTCATGGTAAATGGTCTGATGAACTTTGCTCTATGGTACCTAGACTTTATGAATTCAAGCACTGTATCAGATTGGCAACAAGGTCGCCTTGTTTTAAAATAGAAATGACTGGATGTAACCGTCAATCGTTATCTATTGTCTTCTTGATTCATGTTCTTTTATTGTTCCCGTTTCACACTCGGTAACTCCTTGTTTCTTAGTGGTTTTATTGCCTTGCTTGGGTGAAATGATTTTAGATGCACACACGTACACACACACATAATGTTCTGTAGTTTACATTGAGTTCTCCCTGTATTAATATCTTCCTTGGAATTATTCCTACCAGGCACAAATTGGTAATATATATATATATATATATATATATATATATATATATATATATATAATCACACACACACAAACACGTATACACATAATGCTCTGTAGTTTACGTTGAGCACTCCCTGTGATAATATCTTCCTTGGAATTATCCCTACCAGTCACGAGTGAGTGTGTGTGTGTGTGTGTGTGTGTGTGTGTGTGTTTTTATTAAAATCATTTTATTCACATGCATACATACATACATATATATATATATATGTGTGTGTGTGTGAGGTGTGTGTGTGTGTGAGGTGTGTGTGTGTGTGTGTGTTTGTGGGTATGGGTGTATTTTTTACGTGCACCTAAAATATGTCCCGACTTGGACATACCCACATATATAGTTATCTGTATGTACAAATATATTTATTTATATATATATGTATGTGTGTATCTGTCTATGTCTCTGTGTGTGCGTATCTAACTATGTATATGCATAAGGAGTTAGGTTGCTTGCGTAAAAACACCGGGCCTAACAATGACAGTGTAAATTATTAGCCGTTCGCCGAAATTTATGAACCCGAAAAGATTATTCCTAATTCCTTAATTCTTTCCGTGTGATAGTTTCTAATTCTCGTAAACAGCTGAAGATGATTTTGGAGTGTACCTCTTGGAAATGTGCACCTTTCAAGAAGGACAAAAAAAAAACGAAGAAAGGAGAAAAAAAAACCAACAATCATCACGGATTTAAAGACATGGCCAGGAGAAAAACACATCAGAAGCCGCCAATCGTCGTCGACTCCTCCTTCGTTTAGATAACCCTGTCGCTAGGTGAAAGTCATCAGTAATAATTTCTGTCAGCACTCATTTTAGTCCGCACACAGAGTCCATCCTAACCCCTTTGTCCGCTCGTTCAGGAAAATCATTAATACTTTATATCAGGCGCAACACTCTTCCCGCTGTTGTTCAAGACATGTTGATTATTGGTTGCTATGGTAATAAGACACAAGAGAAACGGGTGGAGCTCTTAGTATCTGTTGCATGGAAATTCTTCCTTTCTTTCGTTTTTTTTCTTTCTTTCGTTCTTCTTTTTACAGTCGTGAGGGATGGCGGCATGTGTTTTTTTTTTCTATTTTGAATTGATGCTAACGAGGTTAATCAAGTCTGTGTTATTTTACGAGAAATGATGGATACAATTCAGCAAGTTGTTTGGAAACAACACCCTCATTCGCCACACTTCCATGTATCATAAGATCATGGCAAAGCTAAGAAATAAAGCTTACGTTTAACTACATCCTCGTGTTTCTTAGTTTAAACTCTGAACGCCCCGAGAAAGATCTCTCCGTCCAAGCGTCAGTGAAATAACAATAGACAAATAATTTTATTACGCTCCTAATTTCAGGGTAACTCTTCTCAATGAGATGAACGTATTTTCCCCCTGATAATTTGGTGGGGATACTTAACTCAAGACAGATTTTACCAGTAAAATGATTCGAATCATTAAGGTATCTGATGATTTAGTTCATTAATGTCTGCAGAAACCACGCAGATTGTTAAAATCTTTGAGATTAGATCGTTTGATGTTTCGAGGGATTTGGATCATTGAGGTCACGGGGGATTTGGATCACTGGAATCTGATTTGGATCACTAAGATATTAGACGATTCGAATTATTACAGTCTCCAACGTTTCGGGTCATTGAGATCAGTGGTGATTCGAATCCTGGATATCATGAGAGAAGAAAATAATAATAATAATAATAATAATAAGAAGAAGAAGAAGAAGAAGAAGAAGAAGAAGACGAAAAAGAAGGAGGAGAATGGGGAGGAGAAGAGTTCTTCTTCTTCTTCTTCTATGCGACCCGCCCCTTCAAGACATTGGCAATCACGGCTCTCCGCAATTTCTTGTCCGTTGTAGCTTTTAATTTTGTCTTTTTATTATCTCTCCTAAACCTTGTACCGCCATCCATTTACTCAAGTCCTCTATGCATTGTTTTCTTCTGTACCGCTTTCCTTCAATTTGTTCTGTGAGTATCAATTTTTCGAAGTCCTCTTCCTTCATTACTGGCCCCAGAAATTTCAACTGTCTCCTTGAAATACTAAGTATAATTTTCCTTTTTGCTTCTATTTTCTCTAAAACTTCGTCGTTGCTCCCATATTCGGTTCATGGTATTCTCAGCATCCTTCTGTAAAACCACATTTCTGCTGTTTCAAATCTCTTCTTCATATGTGAGGGGATTGTTCAGCATTCAATGAGTTTAAAATATTTGTTTTCCTTGTAGAATCTTGCCTTTCAAACATAAAAGACTGTTAATGTTTAACAGCCCCCCGCCCCACGAGGGATGTATGTGGCACAAGGCCGAGTTTACAGTGTGTTCTCCGATCCCGTAGACTCGGCCAAAATTATTCCCGTAGAACCCGCATAAACGGGTCTACCTCCCCGGACGAAACTTTGCCCTTCGACAAAGCCTCGTTCAGGTTCCTCTCTGCTCGAAGCTGAGAGTTCGACAGTTGAACAGTTTGGAGCACATAAAAGACTATTATACTTGTAAATCTTACGTAAATCTTATGCAAATCTTATGTAAATCTTTATCCGAGCAATTCTACAGTGGGTAAGCATTAATCTAAAAATTAAAAAAATAAATAAAATAAAATTTGGCAATTCTGACAAAAAATAGCTGAATCTGATTTATCTAATAAGAAAACTAAGTGACACTTATACTTACAGTCCGAAATAACCAGTTAAAATATCCTGTAAGAATAATGGGGGAAAAAACGTTTGGAATATTTGACAAAAAAAGAAATGCAAAAGAAAATAGCGAGTAGTCTCCCTTAACGACATTGTGTCAATGGATGGCAGCAGGTCAAGGATTAGGTAGAATAGTAAGGAAACAAACATTGCTTAGAGTTAGAAAGGATAGGAAGTTGTAGAGAACCATGATCGATAATGTTCTGAAGGGATAGGAATAATACCGAATTATGACCTTTTGGGGGAGGCCTCTAGGTTAATGAAATTATCCCCAACCTCAGACGGAGCCGCTCTATAAAGCGCTTTCACCCATCTTGAATATTATTTTACTCGTTAATTTTTTAGTTTGGTTTGGGTTGGTTTATTTTACGGTATATCAACCTCAATTGGTTATTTAATGCCGACAAGACTTTTATTGCTGGTAATATTTTTTTCCAAAAATTATTTCTGGTAATATTTTTGCCAAAAATGTGATGCTGGCAATATTCTTTTTAAATGTATTGTTGGTAATAATTTTTTTCTTCAAAATGTATTGCGAGTAGTAAAATCTATTTTTACACGTTTTGTCCCCAGTTTGAAGGTTAAGTATTTGCCCAGAGCTGGGGTCCTAACAGGTGCTACCACACTGGGTCAGGGTGGACCTGGGAATACCAGAAATTAAAAGGTGGTTCTACGCTCCTCAAAACCTCCTGATCAGAGGCCTTATTGTTGGATATAGTTTATCGTTTTACCCAGAACGCGGATGTAGTTTATCGTCTTACCCAGAACGCGGATGTAGTTTACCGTCATACTCAGGACGCATAAACATTTTAGTGACATTTATATAGCTTGAAGAATACTTATTGTAAATTCTTTAAATAAACTTGAATATCTATCTTTTGTTTAGCAATAAGATATTCTTTAAGCAATACTACTATTTTACTATTTACTGTAAACCAAATTAGCACATATTTCGACACAATTGTAGTACAGAAAAACAGATTTATAACAATAAAATAAAATAAATACAAGTTTATCATAGTGATAGTATTTCAGTTTATGAAATTATTTAGAAGAAATCTAGAAAATTAAAATCATTGCTTTATACAGGTTTGAGGAGCCCTATATTAGCTTAATAGATAATCCGGTCTTGGGCCATAAACAGCACACTATACTAGCCTAAATGATAATCCGGCCATGAGCTCTAGGCTGTAGTTTATACTAGGCTAAAGAATAATCCGGCCCTGGGTCCTAGGCAGCAGATTATACTAGCCTAAAGGATAACCCCTCCAGAGTACGACACATAAAAGAAGAAAAACCAATTACAATGGCATCAACTACGAAATGTGTGCAAAAGTTCTCATCGATGTTTTTGGAACCCTGTGACTTAATTTTGCTGAAAAATTTGCATAAATGCTGACTTGATTAACGCTGATTAGCATGATTTTCTTGAAAGCCGTTGAAAGTCAGCTCGATTATGGTGGTGGTAGGGAAAGTTTAATAGTTTAAAGTATTTACATTCCTTTTAG